TTTCATTGCACTCTTCAGTTCAGATCATTTAAAACATGTTAATAAAACCAGAGTATAGGACGATTCAAATGTTGGCAAATGTGCAAAGTTTTGAACGTGTTTTGTTGTTTATTTATGGGGGAGCAGCAGTTCTGCTCTGGAACTTTTCCATGGATACAAAGCCTGCAGTACTTTTGATGTTTTTCCTGTTTCTTTAGTGTTCTGTGCAGATAAAGGATTTATATTTGGTTCACTGCAATCCCAAAAAAAGTTGAAATATTTTTTTCATTATGTCTGGATTGATAGATGTCAGTAATGTTGTTATACGTTTTTTCACCTCATCTCTTTATAAATCTCCTTGATCGCTGTTGATCATTAATATATCATTGGATATTTTGACAGCTTTTTGCTTTGAAGCTGAACAATCGTTTAGAAAATCGTCTTTTCTTCTCAGGTTATCTCTATCTGCCAGAACAATTCATCTTTTTCTGGCTGCAGAGCAATGTTATTTGGTTCTTCCTTATTCCCTCTGGTATTGACATGAATGATAGTGATGGTAAGGTTGACTGCCGGTCCGCTGGTCAGTTGAAAGGCTCGTTAGAAATGTCTCTCCCTGGTTGTAGCGCAGGTGAATGTAACAATTATTGTATTTGGTGCAAAAAACATTGAAGAAAAGGAATTCCACCAGGTCATTAAGTCTGTCAGAGTTGGTATGTGGCCTATTATGTTGCTTTTGCCAGATTCTGCAGAAATTCACAAGTATTTTCACATATAATTTGGGATTTTTTTTTTTTTTTTTTTTTTGCTGGGTAGAACACTATTAACATTGTTGAAGGATAGATTTAGCTTTAAAAATATGTTAATAAAGATGAATGAAGAGACAAGCTTATAAATGGAGATGTTTTAGAAGAGCTTTCTGTTACATCAGCAGGGGAATGTAAACTTGTTGTGTTTTCTGATTAGTGGATTTTGGGCCTGATCTGTTAAGATCCCAAATAAGAAGTTCTTATTGCCTGTGCAAACAAAATACTCTATGTGGAAGTAGTCTGTGTTTTGTGGGGGATTAGTGAAGATTGAATATGCAATCAATAACAGGTGCAAAAGTAAAGCAATCTGCCTTATTTAAATTAGTAGTTTGCGTGTGGTACTGGTAGATGGGGGGGTAGAGCAGCCATACAGGACAGCTGAAGGTCAAAGCCATGGAGGTGGAGGTAATAATAAAAGAAAAAAAAAATTAAGATAATTAGTATTATTTAGGATGCACTGAACATATATGTATCTCAAAAAACAATGAAATATTGAAATGCAATAAAACTATAAATACTAAACTTAAAAGATTAAAGAACAGTCATAAAACCTGAAAAAGCTAACCGTCTATTTGATGGGGAAAAAAATAGATTAATTCATAAAAAATTGAGATTTTTAACTTGCAACCCCAAGCCTAGATTGTTTAACTTTATTCCTTCCCTCCATGTTTGCTGCATAAAACCTGCTTTGGCTAAACACGGTCTCCACATCTAAATAATGTAAAAGCAATTAGAGGAAAGGTCAAATGAACCTCATAATCGCCTTTATAAGTGTTATAATGATGCACCTAATAGAAAACAGATAAAATACATTTTCCTTATTTAGGCTGTAGGTGGCTCAGACTTGGGGCCAAGCAGTAACAAATGTGGGGAGGTTCTTGTCCCATCGTTCATTATTGTAAGTAAGACCACATCTTTCAAATTATTTTACCCAAAATGAGCTTTAAATTCATTTATTAAACATGGTGTCCAAAATCTGTTCTTATTGCTAATATATCTAATTTCCTATTTTTTTTTTATTGATGCTTGATGACAGTTATTTTTGGCAAAAAAGAGAAAAAGTTTAGAAACCCCTGCTGAGATATATACTTTATTACCCAGGTGATTGGGCGCACAATAATGTTTCTCTATATGCCAAAAGGGTTGGTAACCTTAACTATAGTAGAAACCTATGGTTCAAATCCTCTCTTTATCATGGATTTCTATACAGTTTCATTATATTTAAACCAGAAACCAGCTTGTGTGTGGCTCTGCAGTAGAAACATTGTGTGTATAACTCCTGGACTGGGCCAAAAATGGTTCAAGACGTGTGCAGGCGTCACACAGTCACAGAGGATTTCTGTCAGCAGCAGCAGAGCTGCTTTAGACTCAGCGGGCTTAATTATGACCAACACAGCGTGAAATATTGATGCTGGACTGCAGATATAAATATAGAAAGGGTTCAGAAAAAGCCTTGGAAGAAGAAAACTACAGAGCTGGGTGCTAAAATGAAATTTGTTTGGTCCTTTATCGGTTGTGTTAAAAAATATGAGAATGAAAAATAACCCAAATGTCTGATAAAAACACATTTTGCTTGTGTGATTTCTGCCCTTGTTTGTTTTTCCTTGTCTTCTCACCTTTAGAAACAGAACTGTAAGGCAAAATTCAACAACATTAGTTCCTATTTAAATAAAGAAATAAAATGCAGTTCTCGTGAAAAGCAAAAGCAGAAGGGTTTTGTTTTTAGATTACTTATCTTAATCATATACTTAGACGTTAACTTAATATGATCAAATCACACCAATATTCACTGATTTGGGCTAATTTGAATTTAAACGGGTAACTTTATATTAAACAGGATAAATCTGTAAATGGGTTTTAACTTAAGCTAAATGCAAAAAAGTGTTGTTATGCTACTGTGTGTAGTTTTGCTGTTTTAGTTTACCAGCAATACCATTATTAGCATTTATGCACAAATATAAAAAGGAAAACTTGGGATAAAGAGGTTTCTGGTATTCTATAGAAAGGTTTTTGCTAGGCGAATTAGTTGTTTTATGTTATAAACTGATAGAATATATTATAGGATGTAAAGTAAAATAGAAATGGCTTTCAAAATCATAAAGGTGTTTTAATTAGCTATATTGAAACTGTCATCTATATAATCAGTTTCATCCAACTGAAAATGAAAATCTCCTTATATGTGAGCAGATCCCAACTGTGTAAACCTCCCACTCCTTAATACGTGGGACCCTGTATGTTTTTGATGTTCTCCTGGTTCAACGCACCTAATTCAAGAAAAATGACTCCTCCATGACATGCTAAGGAGTTTATTTAGCTTTGCTGCAGCAGGGACACATCTTAAACAAGCACTGGACTTGGATGCTTTGGCTATAAATCTGGCTTTTCTGATAAGGCAGAGAGAAAATCCACCGGCCTCTTTGGAAGAGTTGCTGATCATGGTTAGGAGCATAGCCAGGTGTGAAAGTAAAGAGTAGAAGAAGATGATTTGGTCAGATCAGTATTCATTTTGCTATGAGGGAGAAACTAAGAGCCCACTGCAGTCTTAGCCAAAGGTAGATCAATACATTGGCTGGACGATATTTTTGCACAATGTTTGTGTCATTCTTGTGCCATTCCATGCATGTGTTTGCCATTCGTGCATTTGGCAGCCATGCTTTCAGGTCACATAAGGTGCATATTTTTTGTTTAATTTCTTGATTATATTATATTTAATTAGATTAGATTGAAATGTATCTAACATTTGTCATCATTTGGTCATTTTATCATGTTAATGACGAGCAGTGCAAACTTACGCCAGCAGGCTTTCTTTCTGGGCCAGTTGCCAGAACCCTGTTGCTAACTCTGACCTTTGGTCCACTTACCCATCCAGGAGGAAAGTGGCAACATCAACATGGCTTCTTAGCGTCTTTGTTTCCTGAAGTTAGTTCGAGTGCACCAAAGATTTACTCATGTTCACCCTGGTTTTGCTTTTGTATGTTTGTTTTTGGCTTGAAGGTATTGTGGAGGATTTTTTAAAAGTTTTTAAAAGACCCGCCGTCTCCACTTTAAAAAAAATTTGCATGGTTGCCCTGTTTAAAAGTTGCTGTTCTAATAGCTCATACATGCGTACTGTGTCTGAACGTCCACCCTAGCCCCTAAATCCCTCCATCTTTGTTATTAGTCGGGTAGCTACAGCCTATGGTGGCAGCGGACCACTGATACAGCAAACCTATAAAGCTTTTCAAGGAGAGTTCTCCATACAAAGCATCCCGGGATATATCTGCCTCTTCTAAAGCCTCATACACTTCTTAGATACTTTTTCTCTTATGACCCTCGGCCATTTTTAAAGAACTGTGGTGAGAAAAGTGAGCTTCAATGGCTGTCTGAAACCGTATCTCACCACAGATATACGCCTGAAAGTGCGCATGCTCAGAAAGAGATAGCTAAAGGGATGAGCATGTAGGACGGCCTTACATAAACATATCCCCAGAATGATTGACAATTAGGAGGACCACTTATTTTGATGATCCACCCGGAAATAAAAGATCATCCTCTATACCTTTAAATAATGGAAAAGGAACAGTCACTATTCCTTGTGTTGATATGTGCATCATAATTAGGAGTGAATATTTCTTTTTGACATGTCAAATATAAATTGCAAACGTATAATACCTATTTTATTTCCTCTATGGAGGTTTTGTAACCTTTATAAGTGCTTTATATTTTCTCATACTATTCTTTCTTCCAATTCTTCTCTAAAGATTTTTCTAAGGAGGTTTTTATTTTCTCTAAATTTTAGACTTTTTCCCATACATTTCTTATAGTCTGTCTGGGTACTATACGTGCATTCTGTGTCAGTAGTCTCCCTAAAAATTAATTATGGTTTCATAATTTCAATAATAATTCTTGATAGGATTATTACATATTCTTGTATACATATTTATCTGAACCCAAGAAGTATTTGAATAAAACTCCAGGTCTTTCCATTTAGTGCAGGAATGCTTTTATAATTCAGTAAAGAATACAGAACTTTATTCTTCGGTGTATTTTTTGAAAATCAAATCATTTTTGCTCTTACTTTAAGCAGGTGATGTTTTTTGCAAGCCCCAATGTTAAAGATCCCAATTTGAAGCAGAAAAGTGGAGATTTGTTGGAATGCTTTACTGCCCTCCATTTTCAACTGTTTATAATATTTTTCTGTGTCTGCATATTTTCTCTGTGCACATCACCCATCAGACTAAAAACAGGAACTATGAAAACCTCGACCAACTGTCCTATGACAACAAGCGAGGACCTAAGGTATATTTGCATGGTCAATGCACGCCGCCCACCAACTTTCCAAACGTAGCAGCTAGAAACCAGCCCAAACCAGCCACCAGCCGACCCAGAAATGTCCCCTCTCTTGGTAGCACGTGTTTTCTTTGATTTTTTACTTTCAGACATTCCCCTATAATTTAAAAAAAAAAGAATGATTTTGGTATGAAAAAACTACATTTTTCGGTTGTTCCAGAAAAAAAAAAGAAGAGAACAGAGACCCGCTTTTTTCATTTTCATTTTTTTCACGTCAATGAAGGAATGCATGTACTAAAAACACACAGACTCATTCAAACACACAAGCACACATGCAAAAAGATACAGTTTGCAAGTTCATTCCTTTGTGGAGATCCGGTAGTGTGGGACTCAGATTTCCCCGATGCTACTCCCTCCCGTTTCGTAGCACTTCCCTGGTTTCAGCAGTTTCTTTTTATTTTATTTTCTATTTTTTATTTTTTCGGAGGGATATTGCCCCTCTCACTCCCCCTTCACATGTTTTTAGTTACTGGTTGCATTGACCTTCTCTTTCCCCCTCTACCTAACACATGCACGTTCTTCTTTGGAGCCTTGATATAACCCTCAGTTTGCATGCAGACAAATGCAAAAGTTTTTTTCCCTTCAAGCTTTTTCTTTTTTTAGTTCAGCCAGTTCCCCTGGATCGCTTTCCTTTTAATCTCTGTCTCTCGTTTTTTCAAACAAATTTGGCCAAGCTCGTACCACGCAGGTAAAGAGGCAGCATGGTGTCTGTGGTCGGGAAAAGTAGCTGGCTTGACCTTTCTTATGCCCCAACCGCAGGCAGAGAAAGTCCTACAATTCAGTCAGGAGACAAACTTAACCGCCCTGCTGCTGGAGGCTAAAGAGCTGGAGGCCCGAGTCATCATCCTGTCCGCCAGGTAAGACAGACATTATCCTTCTTCTTTATCCAGCAGGTATCTGTGGCACAAATAGGACTTTCAAAAGTATTCATATAGCTTTACTGTTTTCCATCTTAAAGGCAAACACTTAAATTGGGGATTTATTTAATAAAATAACCAGGCATAGTGTAGAATTATTACATGAAATAAAAAGAACAAAAGGTTTCCCTCCTTCAAAATTTTAAAGAAATTAAATTGTAGATAGGTGATGCTGGCTTTTGGATGTTATGCAAGAAGTCTTCAGGAAATAGCTGCTTACTATTTCAGTACTTTCAGTGCTCTGGTCCACATCGAGAGCACATCTGTGACTCATCCAGGCGGTGATAGAAGAATCCAGAACATTTCACACTGTGGGCCTTAGTAACCTCAACACCGGGTAAAAAAACGCAGCCATTGGCAAATTAAAAGGTAAAAACTGCTGCTGGTCAAAATAAACAAGAACCTTTGAATGATCTCAAAGACTATTTGAAATATATTCTTTGGCCTGAAGAGACCGGAAGGTAAATATTTGGAATGGGTGCTTGCTGTTACCTCTGCTGTAAAGCTAGTTAGGGCACTTTAAAACTGTTCTTTTATGAACCCTAGTGGTAAAGCTGTCAGTGTGCTTTAGTTCAACATCCTGCTGTATTAACTTAAGCCTTGAGTTCATTCTTTAGAATTTTGCAGATAGAGATAATTTTCTATGTTTTTATTAATTGTGGGAAGTTGTGTGACCTAGACTGAAATATTACCACAATATTTTGGGTTGGTGATGTGATCATCTTTTTCTGATATGGTTTATTAGTCTCTTATGGATGGAATTTTAGCTCTCTCTCGTGTTGATTAAAAATATACAGACTTTTACCTCGGTTTATAAGCACTACACTACCTAAGTTCGTGGTTCTTTTCTGATATGCTGGATTAAACCTCAATGTTCCCTTGGAGTAAATCTGGTTAGCTGGTCATGTTTGCTAAGATAAACCCCTGTATCATACATTTTCTTGTAGAAATGGTTGCTTACTATTTGTTCAGTCCTGAAAGCCTAGGAGATATTTGTAAAACTGCTTAAAAGACCTACCTTGGACAAGGAAGTTCCTGGAAAAACATTATTATCATATCTTGGAACACTCCTGCTGAATAGCTATAGTATTTAACTTTACTGACATACAAACTAACAAACATGTTTTAATGTTTAAATCTTCCAGTGATGAAAATTTGCTCTCAAAAGATAAAAAACAGCAATAGCTAAAAAGCTTAGACATGAGGAAGGAGAGGAAGTTTGCTAGACAGATACCTTGCAGCCTCTTAGAGATGAGGCGTTGAGTGAACATTATTTCTTTTCTGATATTTATTGCTTGTTTTCTTACGTTTAATGGCAAACGCTAAATAAATTGAATATTTATATCAAGAGATGAGCCAGTCCGATACCTTGACCAAATATTGGCTCTGATATTGACTAATTAGCTGGAGCAGATATCGGAGATTTTGCTGCTTATTTGTTAGTGAATAATATAGAATACATTTGTATCTGTGTTAATTTTTTACCTTTTTTAACAATATTTAAAGGTTAAATTCATGCCTCAAAAGGCAAGATATATGATCCATTTTTTTAACATTTGAATCGGATCAGTTCAGAGATCCACCGATATGCTAAGCACAGGTATCAGTGTCAAATTGGATCGAAAAGACTGGATCATTGCATCTCTTTCTATATTTATTCATCACTTATCCATCAGAGTTATGGTGGGGCTGGTCTAAAACCAGTCTATCACAGAACCATTTATATCTAAACCCTAAATCTCAATGAATATTATCTCTTAAGTCTAAATCTTTTTTTTTTATTAAACAAATCACATCATGTCACATGTTACATGGCCGTTACAAATTAATGTTTATGTGAAAAATACTGGTACAAAAAAAGCACAACAACAAAAAGAGACATATATATATATATATATATATATATATATATATATATATATAAGCCCTTTTTCAATTGTACATTCACATTAATGTAAGGGGACAGCTAAATAAAAATTGTTCACAGCATGACAGTTATAGCTACATTCTCACAGTATGAAATGAGAGGCTGACATATTGAATAGAATTTCTCTATTGCCTCAAAGAGTGAAAACTTTTTTTTTGTTTTTATGTAATGAATGATACTTGGTCAATCTGCCAAGATTGCACTTCCGGAGATCTTAAATTGGAGAACAATAAATCTAAATCTTAGATCTTTGCCTCTAATCTAAGACTCATATCTTCTTATATCCTAATTAACCACATCCCTTTAACGATTTATCTCCTAGCTACACCCTTAGGGTATAGGAATATAACGGGGGCTTTAAGGGAGGCCCCCCTTCTCATAAATATAGTTTAATATTCAGATTTATACTTAGAGTGAATGTAAGAAAAAAAGCATTTAATGTAATAAATGTTTGCTAGATGTCTTTCGGCGGCCCCTAGGATGCAAACTCTCTTGCTGCCTTTTTTAATACACAACCGTCCTGCTCTCTAACTAAATACACAGTTTTCAACTTAAGGTAGAATCATCATCCAACGCAGATTAAGAAGATTTCATACCTTGAGGTTAGGATCCTTCCACTCTGCAGAGCTTTGTGTCTGCTTTAGAACCAATGACTAAAAGCTCCTTTCAGTGTGATCTACTCATACTCCACTGCAAAGAAATGTTGTGACAGTAAATGTCTCCAGTGAGTCATATATCCAGCAACATGAGGTCACTCACAGAATTACATCCGATCGGTTGCTGTAATGTCGAATTACATTCAGGGCAGCTAGTTTAAACAAGGGTTCATGAATACAAAACATGGAAAAGGTGAAAGATTTAGAATTTGAACATTCATATAATGTACTATATGCCATGAGAAATCTCTTTCCATGAAAATTAAAATGATGGGAAATCATGTTTTGTTTACAGATAGGACATAAAGGTAGAAAATGAAACAGTTTGAGTATCTCAAATGAAAAGAGGCCATCATTAAACATGAAATTACAGAAAGTTCTGACCTAAATAAGAGGTTAGTGAAAGAACCCAGGTTTGAATACAGCAGGTCATAAATGTGACTGATAAACAGAAACCACACTGATAAAAGAAAAACCTTGTTGAATATGATGGAGGGAGGAAGTAAACAGATTCTCCACACATCAATCTCAGGAGAAAATAACGTTCAATAACGTTCCTTTTTTACCAGCGAGGACGATGCTGCCGCTGTGTACAAGGCCGCCCGCTTCCTCAACATGACGGGCTCGGGCTACGTTTGGCTGGTGGGGGAGCGGGAGATGTCCGGTAAAGCTCTAAGCGAGGCACCAGACGGTAGGTTTATCTCACAAGGAAGTATCACAGTTTATGCTCTATTAAAAGGTTAAAATGGACTAAAACATTCAAAACTAATATTGGTATACATTATGTAAAACTGAGCATTTTATTAGCTTTTCTTCTCTTCAAATAAACCTGATTTAATTTGTGCTTAGAAAGTATATAATCACTGCTTTCCATGTTAAAATGCCTAAGGTGTTTATGAGGTGAAAACATTACTCATCCAGTTAAGCATTGCTTACAGACGCGATGTGATAATGTTTGTTGTCCACCTGGTCTCAGGTCTGATCGCCCTCCAGCTCATCAATGGGAAGAACGAATCGGCCCACATCACTGATGCCGTGGCGGTGGTGGCTCAGTCCATCCAGGAGCTGTTTGAGAAGGAGAACATCACTGAACCGCCGAGAGGTTGTGTTGGCAACACCAACATCTGGAAAACAGGGCCCCTCTTTAAAAGGTACGCTTCTTAAGTCGTTTTTTTTCCTCATTTCATGAAATAATTAGTTTAAGGAGTTGGTTTTTTATTTTTTCTGTGAGAATTAGTACAAGGCACTGGGATAAACACAGTGTTGTGGTCGGAAAATTTAGATTTCTCTTATTTCTTATATTAATTCATCCTATTTACTCAGTATAAAAGATTTCCCTCAGTTTGTTTCACCTGCAAGGCCACACAATTCTCCTGCACGATTGTGTTTGTAGACCAGGCTTCTTCCCAAAACAAGCCAGATTCCTTAAGGATTCATGACATGTTAATGTTTAACCAAAGGGTCTGCATTTTGTTTTGACTCTGACTAATTTCCATTGTTGTAAGTAAAAGGAACACACTCTGTCCAGGCAGAATAGGGCTGAATACAGAGCAGCAAAGGCTGTATGATCAACTGTCCTCTTTTTGCAAAGATATGAAAATAAAGTGCCGCCTTTCCATGCCTAAAAGCCTGACATGCATTTCCGAACTGTCTAAATAGATGTATGATGATTGCAAATAAGCTTTGGTGGATCCAAAGAGCAATGTTTTTCTCTTGTAGTCTGAGGGGCAATCTACATGAAATGGGAAAGACCCACGTCACTAAAATAGAGACTAATACTCTCTATCAAATAACCACTACCAGCTTTATCTGGTCAGAGGAAGGAGATCCAAGATGTGGAACCCAATGACACTTTTTCATTTTTTCTTTAAGCATCAACACTGATAAAATTATCGGTAGCAGGGGTCCTAATTGAAATCAGTAAAGATGCTGCAAAGGTTCTACTCTATAAACATATTTTGTTACTTAACATTTGGTTATTTAGCAGAATAAGCCTGAAGATGATTGGATCCTGATATTGTGACATCTGTTGGATCCGTTAAAAAAAGATGCATAAATATATCCAAGAGATGTCAGAGTTCTTTGTTTCAGTGTATGATTTTTTTTTAATATTATTTAGTGCCGCTTTCTGTTTGTTTGTGGTCTTTTTTTATTGGTTTCACAGCTTTTTCCTGACCAGAGAAAAATTATTCTAAGGGAGACACATAAAGAAAAATCCTGAGCGTTGATTCATGAGGAACCTGTTCAGTTCAGAGTGAATTTGACTTGGATTAAAGGTATTATTTGAGTGTTGCATTGTGGATACAGTAAGGCATCAGTCTGGTTGGTCACATCTGTCGTAAACTTGCACCAGATGTCAGATAATTAAACCAAAGATTATAAACCCACTTAAAAAAAAATGACCTCTGTTCAATTGAATTGGTCAGACTGCTGACCTTCAGCTGTGTTCCAGAAACTGCCTGATATGGGTATAACTCCACTCATGCCATCATGTCTAGACATGGCATCTTCTTGCAAATCCAAATCAATTATATCCTCATCACTGATCTACATGTCTCTCTAATTATGCCCAAATCAAATAATTTCTTCCGGCTAATTGACTCCTTGTGTGTAACTTTTTTACTGCTAAGCGTATCTTCCATGTTTTTCTTTTAAGTATATCCAAGTTAGTCCTTAAAAAGCTAAGAAAATCCTTTGTGTTTGCGTTTTTGACTTGCAGAGTAAGGGCAGAGGCAGAATACAGCATCCTGCAAATGGAGCTGACCTAGTTACAAGAGGCTTCTCTGCAGCATCACAAAAGAAAAAGCTCTGTTTATAAAAATCAATGCAGCTGCAAATTGCAAATAGCCTAACTTTGCAACCACTCTTTTCAGTTATGTGAATTAGATTTTACATTAGAAATATGCTGATTTAATGCATATGAAACCCATACTGAACTGAGAAGAAATAATTCATATCAAGCTGAACCTTAAAATTCTGTGTGGGTGACAACTTTTCTCTGCATGAATAGATTTTCTTTTGTAGGGCAGATATATAATGTATGTTCTTTGATCTTTTTGTTTTCTTGCCACAGAGTGCTGATGTCCTCCAAATATCCAGAAGGCCTGACGGGGCGCATCGAGTTCAATGATGATGGAGACAGAAAATACGCCCACTACAGTATTCTCAACTATCAGAAGTCTCGCCTTGTTCCAGTCGGCATTTACAACGGCACACAGGTGACATTCAGATTCCCCAGCTAACGTGACTTTTTTTGCTTTTCGGGAAATTATTGTGTTTAATCCTTTAAATAATTTTATATTCTCACTTTAAATGAAAGAACTTGCTTACTAATGAGAAAGACTGAGATACAATGACAAATAATATAAAGCATTGATGCTGGGTGTTAATGATACTGGTTAAAAGTAGTTTATGAGGAAAGTCGACTTTAGACTTTAAATGCTCCTTCATTTTGGACTGTCATGTTGGTTTGTAGGATTTTGATCCACATTCCACATGGAGAACCAGACAATTTTAGCATTTTATTTACAAAAGGAACACACATCTGGAAGCAGAGAACTGCAGAAAGTCAGTTGAACTTTCTGGTTGGTCTGAGGGGAGAAAACAGACTGATCAAGAAGGAGTTGGTTGATAACAATAGAAGACTGATTGATTTGATTACTTGAGAGATGAAGGGGAGGGAGTATGGATCTGTAGGGGTTTGATTCAACGGGCTTTGCAGACTGAACCCCTGAGGTCCAGGAATTGTGAGTGAAATCCGAGAGCGTCGGTACTTCTGAGAAATGTTGCACACATGTAAGACCTTTTCCATGAAGATCGGAGATTAACTGAGTTCCATTGGTTGTCCAGAACAACAGAGTCCACATTAAAAGAGATTCACAAGAGGACAAATTTAAACAAGAAGGATGTTCCTGGTTTAGGTCTTTGGCTGGAATACAATCAGGGTAAAGAAATGTGATCCTTTGCCTCCTTATAAACATGATGGTAATCTTGATTGAGAAATGTTTTCAGGTGCGGAGATCCTCTCTTTGACAGGAAGCTCACTTACACCAGAAAAACAGCAACACCCTAGAGTCCCTAACACAAACCTTCTACCACATCCACTCAATCAAAATAAACAATATCATCTAAGATTCTTTGTGATATATATATATTTTTTCATTTGCAGTTCTACAAAAAAAAACAAAAAAACATGGCATACTCTCCCTATTCTCAGCAGCAGTGAAGCGGAAGCTTAAACTTGATTAAGGTGAAAATTTTCTTATCAACTCTCCATTCTATTGCTTAATTATATCACTTGTATCAAAAACTGACCCTCTATGCACTATAAGAAAGTTTTCTATCAAAAAAATGATCCCAAAAGCAAGACACAACTACATTTAAGATCAGGCTAACATTAAGCTTCTATAAAAGCTTCCTCAGACCTATAAAAATTCAAAGACACAAAAAAAGCCATTAACAGAAACTGTAAAGGCATCTGAATGTTTTTATTTTATTTTAGCACAAATAAATATTTTATTTTCTAAATTAATTATTCTTTTTAATGTAAACTGTAGTTCAAAATCTGACAGTCATCAAAACATTTTGATTTCTATGGGTTTTAATTATAATTCATCCTGTTTGCAGGAATAACTACTAGTACTACTACTACCACATTTTCTTGCTTTGTATTTGTGACTGTGTAATGACAATAAAGTTGAATTCTATTCTAATCATTTTATTACATTCTAAAGATGTAAAAGAACCTATTGCAAAAAACGGCACATGCATAGAGTAAAAGAAATAAAGATACACATAACACTCTATCTCTAAAGCAGAGCCCAGCATTAATGTCATCAGCAAAAGGACAATTTAGACACATGTCTTCAATGCTAATATAAAATCCAAATCTCTTAAGACATCATCAGGAATCCATCTTGATTCTTTTTTTAAAGCAATTTAGAAGCAGAGAAGACGGTAAGAATCAGGACTTCAGCTCCTTGTAATGTCAATGGGGCTCTGCAGGCCTCAGGTGTAACACACAAAGCAGAGGTGAAGGCGGTAAATAAAAGAACTGCTGAGCTGTGCTTCTGCAAAGCTTACTCATTAGTAATACTCACCCGCAGCGTTTGAAGTCTCATCAGCAGCATGCCCTCTGTCAGCACTCACCTTTAATGCGGCTGTATGTTCATTGTCCCTGCAGGTGGTGATGAACAATCAGCGAAAAATCATTTGGCCCGGAGGAGAGACAGAGAAACCGCAGGGCTTCCAGATGTCTACTCGATTAAAGGTGGGCTGCCTGTGCTCAGCTACTGCAAAGTGCTGGCCACATGTGCACACATTCACCCCTTGTGCTGCACTAAGATTTACCCTGCACATCGAGGGACACTTGCAGCACTGTTTACTGGAACTGATAAAGACTTCTTCCTTCACTGTAAAACACATGTTCGGCTCCTTGAAAATGAAATATCCCTTATTTTCTGTGTCTGATTTTATCCTCTTTGATTCATTTTAGTGGTTTTAACAAAGATGCAGAAAGATAAATTATCTGTCTGATTGCTAAATGATCTGTCTTGTGTTCACTCAGATGGTTTATTCCTTGAATTTATAAGCTTTTTTTCTACTTTTAATCATCAGGAAGAAACTATTTTATTCTGTAAGGCAACTTAATTATAAATACAAGCTCAACTGCTCTCCATCTTTTCTCCTGCAGATAGTAACGATCCATCAGGAACCATTTGTGTATGTAAAACCGACTATGCAAGACGGGACGTGCAAAGAGGAAATGACGCTAAATGGCGTGTTAATAAAAAAGGTTATCTGTACTGGGCCAAATGAAACCATTCCAGGTAATACAACAAATGCATTACATGTTCAGAAATTGTTTGATTAAAAAGTATTTATAATAGAGGAAGCTATAATTTCCTAGATACTTATTCTGCTTCAAGAGCGGATCACTGATATGCTTTACAAATAAAGTAAGAGCCAAAATGTCACTGCTGGTTGTTCACTGAAAGCCGCGTACAAGCATGTTGATGCGATTGTGAAGCCAAGCTTATTGAAGAATTTTAAGCCATTCACAATTTGAAGCCTCCGAGAGTCACTAAGTCATCAGCTGAAACTCCATAATGTCTACACTTTTGGACCACACATATTAAAAGTTTCTTTTCTTGGCTGAGATAAAAGAATGCTGGACTCCTGCTAAGTAAAAGATTTCTCTTTTCAATATAAAGGTTTGCATCTAATTTTCAAATTAAGGTCCCAGATTGTGGAGGAAGAATCAAGAAACGCATCTATGTTGTTTAAAATCCGGATGGAGGTTTACATGTCAAGCAGCACTGATACATTAATTCAGACCAAAGGGAGACTAAACCAACTATTAGGTGGAAATAAAATCCAATTCAAGAACATTCCTTTCAATTGCTTAAAATTTCTGGATTAAAAACACTTTTCTTTAGTTATCTGATCTAATGTTTGTACTGCTTAAGCTATAAACAATAATAATCAATATCAACAAGATCGTATTTTTATAATATGAGTTTGATCTGAACTGAATGATTGAATTACAACACATTTTGAACTCAGACTCAAAATTCCCCATCTGTTTTTATCTGTGCACCTGCAGCAGTTCAGGAAGGGTAGAAGGTGCTGGAAGTTTGTGGTGTAAAAAGCCACGTTTTCAGGGTGCCTTCAATGCACTTAGATTTAAAAACTAATAAATAAATAAATATCCAACAAGACTGTTTTTGACCTGCTTTTAATACAGGACGCCCCATCGTCCCGCAGTGCTGTTATGGGTTCTGTGTTGATCTCCTGATCAAGTTGGCTATGACCATGAACTTCACCTATGAGGTGCATCTGGTGGCTGATGGAAAATTTGGAACCCAAGAGCGGGTAAGTGTCCCATTTAAAACAACATCTTATGTTTTGCACCTGAGACATACAACATGATTTATGAAATTTCAGTTGTCTTTAATTTATCCAATTAGGAGACTTTCCTGAATGGAAATCAAAGGGAATCTCTTCATCATGATTTTTTTTTTTCATATTGTTATTTATAGGACATGTCACATAATAGATCCAACAATAATGAGACCATTTACCAAACACCAAATCCTCACATCTTTAACATTTTATCATTTTTGTACAGCTTAAAGAAAAGGAATAGGGAGTATTATGTTTTTGCCAAAAATATCTTCTTTTAAAATCTTGATATTATTTTTCATGAATACCTGTTGTACAAAGAAGACAGCAATGGGCTGTTCTGTAAGAGTTCCCTTTTCATCTGGGTTGAGGTTACTGCAGATATTAGTAGAGGAGAAGAGGAGGAGCACTGGGTGAACCAAAAATAACCTCTGTCCTTATTCATAATACACCAAAGTAGGGTAAAACATTTTGTGCAATATGCAGCACAAAGCAAATAAAATGATTATCCAGTACTTTATAACTACTATGTTTATTTCATATCGCGAATGCAAATTAGTTAAAATTATATAACCAGATTTTATTCCAGTTACATTCACTCCTATTCACTCTAAATGGCAGTTTAAGAAAGTGCCTAATGGTTAAAAAAATACTAAAAAACAACCTAGATTGGAAAATAGTCCACAGTTTTTTGGAGTTTTTCTTTTTTTTTTTCCATCTTGTTTTTCTTTGACTTTTGTTATTCGGACTATATGTGGCGTATACAAACATGAACACAAATACTAACTCTCACTCTACAGTGGTAAAGAGTCTAAAAAAAAAATAAAATAAATTGCTGTTTAAATTTCACAGAGTAGTCCGTGATGTCTCCAAATGGGTTGCCTTTTGACAATCTCATGGTTGGGAAGATCATGGATGTTAACCAGGATGTTTTCTCATAAGGAGTTGTTCTTTTTCGTCGTGTTCACACTTGAGCTGCTAATGTTGTGTTTTACCTACCGTCATGTCAGATAAGTGGCACTGAGATACCATGGGTACGCGGGGTTTCTGGGTTAATGCCACATTTTATAACACAGAAAAGTGCTGAGGGGGATGCTTAGCTCATTATTAAATCAAAAAGCTGGGGACATGCAAACGATGCTCTTACAATGCACACTGTACAATGGGAATGTTTCCAGACCGCCCGGTTTAATGTCTAGATGCTAAAACTGCATCAGCATTTTTATTTGTGGAGTCACTGCTAAGCTCTGCAGCTCTTCCACTGATGACTATTGAGGACCCTGAATTTGATGCCTTTTCTTTTTATTCTGCAGGTGAACAACAGTAACAAGAAGGAGTGGAATGGCATGATGGGAGAGCTCCTAGGTGGCCTGGCAGACATGATTGTTGCCCCGTTGACCATTAACAACGAACGTGCCCAATACATAGAGTTCTCTAAACCTTTCAAATATCAGGGGCTTACTATTCTTGTCAAAAAGGTGAGGAGCACATGTGGCTCTTGGTCATGCCAATTATTGATTTTCTCATGTTACTCTTGAGCTTCAAAGAAATCAACCAATTTTGCCTACTTATTTTATACTAGAGATCTCACAGTGGAGGTACATTTAAACATCATGTCATCTGTCCTTCAATAGAGTGGTGGTAATAGACCAAATTTACCAGGGGGGCCAGGGTAAGGCCAGGGTTTTTTCATGAGGGCACAGAGCAAAAGAAAAACACACATAAAACAAACAGGGCAATAGCACATTACCAAATATACTAAGTAAGTCATAAAGCCAAGGTTGGAGACTCTTGATCTAGAGCTGGAATTTTCCAAACCTTTCAGCCTGTGAACCCAAAAATAACAATGCAACAATCTGACGACTCTCTAAAAATACATATAATTACTTCACTCTATATTAATTTGTACATATAAAGCAAAAATAATTATGAGATTTCATTATTGTGTTCATCACTACAAAAGTATTTTCAATTATTTAATGGGAAATTAAAATATTTAATTGTGCATTTTACAATTTAACAGAATATCTAATTTTTGTTTCAAGTATTAGACAACTAAATTAATTATATCTATGTCTTTTTATATAATGGTACATTCAAATATATTTAATGGGAAATTTACATTTATGTATTTCATAATATATTTTGACTCTCCATATGGTTCAGGGATCACATCACAATTATTGTAAAATCCATCTCAAGACTACCCACTTGGGGAACGCTGACCTAGAGGATGAAAACTATTATCTTAAAATGGCTGAATTTTAGTGCCACACCTTAATTTATAAATAATTGTAAAAGTAAACTGTAGTTTTAAAATATTAATTCGGTTCAACGAACCAATCAGTTCTGTGAGCTTGTATCATGAGATGATTCATTCATTCAGTACAGGGGCCACAACCAGTCCAGAGGCAGTGGCCCCTTGTAGCACCTGTCTAGAACCGCCCATGTTTCAGTTGTTTCGTTTTCCCCTGTCTAGATATGAGACTTATTAAATTGTTTGGCTACATGACATTATTTTTAAGTTTATGGAATATTACTATAAAGTTTTATACCTAATCACAATATTTTACGCTTCAAATTGTCACATATTTTATGTGACTCACGTTTCCTTTAAACTAGATCCTCTATCAATCTATCAATCAAATAACCTTTACCCAATTTGAGATATGTGGAAATTAGATATACTGATTTCAGTTACATTTCTGTTTAAGATAAAAAAGCAAGAAATAATCTGATTTCATGTTCATTTTAATTATTGCAGGAATGCATTAAATCAACTTTGCCACCATGATATTTCTTTGACAAATGCAAATGCCATAGTATGCCTCAGAAAGCTCTAATCAGTTGTTGACCTTCCAACATAAACTAGGAAAAGTGGGCTAAAAACAATATAACGATTTGAAATGTAAGACAGTACATTTCCACCTATCTGATAACTTTTTATAATGTATGTGTTTTTAGGAAATTCCTCGAAGTACACTTGACTCATTTATGCAGCCGTTCCAAAGCACGCTGTGGCTGCTGGTGGGTCTTTCGGTGCATGTGGTGGCGGTGATGCTTTACCTTCTAGACCGGTTCAGGTACAAGGAGGGCATGCCTCTCTATATTATGTGTGTTTGTATACACAATGTGTGTATGTTTATCTGCACTCCTCAGCATCGCAGATCTTCCCTCAGTGTGGATGATTTGGCCGACAGAGGTGAAGATCGGCTCCGATCATCCCACTGCTCTGTGCTATCCGTTTTTAGCCTTTTTCCTTTTCTCTGGAATTAACCTCTGTCTTGCTTCGCTCACTCATGTTCATTTCTCTTCTTTTCCTGGGATTGGCTGGGATTCATTCCCCCATGAGTTTGTCAATGATTTCTCATTTCATCCTCTGCAACCCTTCCAATTTCCTCCTTCTAGTCCATTTGGAAGATTTAAAGTAAACAGTGAAGAAGAGGAAGAAGATGCCCTCACCTTGTCATCTGCCATGTGGTTCTCCTGGGGGGTGTTGCTGAACTCTGGAATAGGAGAAGGTAAAACTTATCATCTATTTACCACCTATTTTATTTGGCAATGTTACCAGCAGGACAGTTTTACCATTTTTTCTCATAATCCCATGTTTCGTCTATGACATGTTGTCAAACTATAGTTATTTATGGAAATAATAAATCTTCTAAATATTTGGTAAGATTGTTAATTTACATGGAAAATAGTTAGTTTGTTTTTATTTTGGATGATAGACAGTTTACTTTGAGCAAACGTTTTCTTGTTTTTCTCTAAAAAACACGTTTTAGATATGTATAAAATCATAATTTGTCATACATTTTAAAGTTAAACTTAGTGAAGTTTGGGAGATGGTAAATTAATGGTAAATAATTTAACATAGATATATCAGATGCAAGGTTTAACTTTAATTCAAGTATTTCTTGGTTCCTTAAGAAGAGGCTTATTTTGAATTATGACCTATAACTTTATGAAGGGAAGAGTTTGGAAGAGACAAAATGAGTAGGCCTTGAAAATGTAATCATATTAATCGTTATCATCGATAATTTAAATACTTTTCAGCTAATTTAGTAATTTATTAATCGTTAACTGGAGTGTAGAGTCTAAAATTTGCCTTTTATCTGACAGAGCAACCCACTTTGATTGTATAAAAATTACAAAAAAAGTAAACATTTTGCATTCAAGATAAATATGTTTTTTGTCCGTCAATATACTATACTATATCAAGAACTTCTCAAGTGGAAAAGTTTTAGTTTCACCTGGTTTAATTTTGCAAAGTCTTCTTTAAGGTACCTTTTGCTATCCGATTATTAATTGTTTAAACAAAAACAAAAATCAACAGATTAATCAATTTGCAAAATAATCGTTAGTTGCATAACTTAACTTAGTTTTATAACGACCTGCAAATCCACCCAGATCATCAAAGATTGTCAAAGAAAGAATGTTATTTACTGGTGGTCAGATGCAGGTGTTTACTTGGAACTATTTTTGATTATATTTTGGGCAAAGTTATGTTTGCCCTGCTTGGATATAAAAAGGCATGCAGGTCTTTCATGCGTTCTTGCTGTAATGTCTCCAGGTTTCTCACTTTGGCATTTTTGACAAGTTGAAATGGTTCAATAAAGTCACTGAGGAAGCTTTAGTTTCCAGTCATTGGTCCTAATTAGCCAATCATAATCCGACTACAGGAAAAGTGCAGCTATGTTTCGCTATCTGCTAACAAAACGTTGTACAATCTGTGATCTTTTTTTATCTTCTATCAATCTTTTTGAAATTAAAGTATCAATAAGGTGAGCTAAAAGAAAATCAAGTCAGCAATGCAAACAAAGTGTCAATTGCTAGGGGAATTACTGAGCTGAAAACCCATCCTAAACTCTACATAGGTGCACCACGCAGCTTTTCAGCGAGAATCCTCGGCATGGTGTGGGCTGGCTTTGCTATGATCATTGTGGCTTCTTACACTGCCAATCTGGCTGCTTTCCTGGTGTTGGACCGGCCTGAGGAGCGCATCACCGGCATCAATGACCCAAGGGTGGGTAATGTACCAGCCACAAATATTTAATACTGTACCATGTCATACAGTGGAATAAATAATAAAAAAAAAAATTATATGGGCTCTGTTGATGTCCTCTTTCCTAGCTAAGAAACCCATCTGACAAGTTCATCTATGCCACGGTGAAGCAAAGTTCAGTGGACATCTACTTCCGACGACAGGTGGAGCTTAGCACTATGTACCGCCACATGGAGAAACACAACTATGAGAGTGCTGCAGAGGCTATCCAGGCTGTGCGTGACAAGTGAGTCTCGGCCAGGCCGGGCCGACTGGAGCATACGTCGGCCGGCTGCTTCACGTAGTATAGGGTTGATGCAGTTCTTCGTAGAACGATAGGGGAAATGGACCTCTGGACCAGATGGAAGTGGCAGGACTTACTGCAACCTTCATTCTGATTCAGGTCCATTACTTAGAGTCAGCCGCAGACATAGATGTGTCATTGAGCCCTGACACAAGTTTGAGGTTGAGCTAATATTGAGTCTAGGAGCACCCTTTTACAGGTCATACCCAGCCGAAGCCCTTTAAGGTTTGGTGAACCCGGATGGGGAGACGCCCTCACCCATCTGGTCTCGGATTTCATTTGGGCCATAAGCAGCTATAGACATTCCTGGTAAACGCTGAATGACACATGATTTGGTGTGCGCAGAAGAGAAGGTTGGGAGCCGTAAATGTGTATGTAAATCATTGTACTGTTGCACCATAACCCCCCTCCTTCCCCTCCTCCTTCCTCCCTCCCTTCCTACCCATTCCCTCCCCCCACAGCAAGCTGCATGCTTTCATCTGGGACTCTGCGGTGCTGGAGTTTGAAGCCTCGCAGAAGTGCGACCTGGTGACCACGGGAGAGCTGTTTTTCCGTTCGGGCTTTGGCATAGGCATGCGCAAGGACAGCCCCTGGAAACAGAATGTGTCCCTGGCCATTCTCAGGTCTGTCCCAGCGGAAGCTGCGATACTCGTTTTGACTTTTTTTTTGTTTTGTTTGTTTTATTCTTTTCTTATCCGTATAGTTATATAGTCACATACTGACAGTTTACATACATTCAGTGCATCGGCTTATGTCATATATTACTATATCTTCCCTCTCCAGCCTTGTATGTTTGTTTGTCAAGTTTTTGTCTATTTGTTGGACCATCTGTCTCTGTTCCATGTGTGTTGGTAACTGGGAGTGAGCGGCTCGCACATTCTACCATTTGAGGCCTTATATTAACTGTTATACCTCTCTTCCCACCATCCCCAACCCCCTGCAGTTCACATGAGAATGGCTTCATGGAAGACCTAGATAAAACCTGGGTGAGATACCAGGAGTGTGACTCACGGAGCAATGCCCCAGCCACACTCACCTTTGAGAATATGGCAGGTATGGTCCTTTTGGCGTAGAAAAAGCGTTAAAAGTGATTGGACAAAAACTGCAGTGGTAAGTTACTGTAGCCCATTTTTGTCCAATACCTTTGCCTCACTGTTTTGGTGTCGGCGTGGGTGCTCTGTGGAAGTGTAGCTTACAGTACGAACTGTGTGAGATTCTGTGCAGCTGTGCTGTGCTTTTGATACTGAGTTGTTTTCAGCCCCTTACGCTTTTAGGAGCTGGTGAAGAAAACTGGGGCGACCACTGAGCATCATAAGGGTTATAGCTCAGTGGGAGCGGTGGGGTTGGAGAACAGCTGCTCACAACTTTCTGTTTCTTTTATGTTTCTCTACACCAGGAGTCTTCATGCTTGTTGCTGGAGGCATTGCGGCAGGGATCTTCCTCATCTTCATCGAAATCGCCTACAAACGGCATAAAGACGCCCGCAGGAAGCAGATGCAGCTGGCCTTTGCGGCCGTCAATGTATGGAGGAAGAACCTGCAGGTAGGAATGTTTCACTTGGGCGTCTAATATCTGTAAGGAAATATATAGCTGGTTTATTCAAGTAGTTTCCCAATAGTAGCGAAAAGATAACCACCAGACGAGCCGTGATCTCCTATATGTAAATATAATGGAAGGGACCTCGACGGGCCACTTTTAGGGTCTAAATTGTTTTCAGGAGTCGAACTGCACCCTTATCTTTTGTGTGTGCCTGCAGGACAGTAAGGAAGCCTCTGGAAGTCAAGTGGTGACTGAGACACCCTCTTTAGTATGTAGCACTCCTACGTCACCGCTTGCTATTAGAAAATAAGTAAACTAAGTAGTCTCTAACATAATGGATAATACATTGAACCTCTTCTTCATGGCATGATGGAGTATTTTTAAGCTGACATGCTTCATAAGGTTCAAAGAAAATGTAAAAAAGAAAAAAAAGAAAAGCTTTTAGAACGGTTATAGGAGAACTGATGTTTTGTTTGTCACAGCATTGACTTTTTTTGCTCTCACAGCAAAGCATCAACATTGAGCTAACCATACAAATGGAGCATAAAGAGCAAAATCAATGCTTTGTGTCTGTCATGCCCTAGCAGCCCATATTTACTGTAAACGTGAGATGCAACATTTTAGTGCACAAAAAGAAATCCTAATGAATCTTCATGAAACTGACATGCTTGAGGCTTTGCAGAGCACCACACGCACTAAAGTCTTAGCTTAAAGGGTGAGTTCACACAAATGTATAAAATGTATTCACAGAAAAGAGGTTATTTAACTATTAGCTGTTTCTTCAGCATCCATATACAGTACTGTGCAAAAGTTTGAGAGCAATTTCTTTTTTATTAGATTTTTGAGAACTCAGACTCTTTTGCAATGATTTAAATGGTTGCAGTTAGGGGCGGTGTGCAGAGTTTTGGTAGAGGTACCAGGTAGAGATATCCTCTACATGGGGTTATTAGTCCTTTCTCAAGCCAAACCAGGTCAGTTTCCAGCCTTGAGGTTTTAGCTTTCCTTTCCCTCCATTTCCAGTCTGATCATTGTGTTTAAGAACTAAATACTGCCGCAGAAATTTTAAAATGGCTGTAGTAATTAGTGAAGTCTGTGGTAAGGTACATTTTAAATTTTAGATGAGAAAAAAACGAAGAGTAATGAGAGAAAAAACCTTGGAAAAAAATAATGTTAGAAACTGAGAAAATGCAGGTATAATGCAAAAAAATGCAAAAGTCTTATTTTAGTCAAGGTTTATTTATGACGCGCAGTTAACTGGACTGGGTCTCCAAGATCAGCACAGATGGAAATTTTTGAGCAAAGCAGTTTAATCCTGCTGTTAATCTGGCACTCTAGACTTATATTAGACTTATATATTGATGGTTCCTTTATACTAAAGAGGCATTACCTAGTTTTCTAATAATACTGCCATCTGTGGCCAAAATATGGAACTGCAGCACTCTTCTGCTTGTTCTTGCAGCTCATCAACATGGACGCACTTGAGCTACTGAGATACCAACCAATTAACAGTATATAAAGGAACTGACATTATTAGCCAGGTCTTCTCTACCAGCTTAGCATGGACAGACACAAACTTATGATGTCACTTTAAACAAATACGGAATACCATAAAGAAAACCTTCAGAAGATCTGATTGATCTGGCATTTCTTAGTCCTGTGGTTTCGTCTTGAGTTTGTTATTATGCTCATAACGGTGTCACCACAAAATCACTTCAGTTTGATTGCCTTTGAAAGTGTGTGCATACGGCATGCAGATAATCACACATTTTGGTTTTAGGACCCTTAAATCTCAGAGAAAATCGAAAGTAAAAAATGACTGCCTGTGGATAAAGATCTTTTCAAAAGTTTATTGAGTTTCAGCCAAGATCATTCAGTTTAAAGCATCCCGGAAAGGACTTTCAAGCTCCAGCTACGGTTCTTGATCAATGGTTCTCAAATTTTGTTAAGACAAAACCTGTAGAACTCTTGATCATTTGAACATAATAACACAGTCAATTAAGTTTAGTGTTTTGGGTTCTAAAAAAATAACTAAAGCATGACTTGACAGTTTTGCACAGTACTGTAGCTGTTTCAATGTTCTGGGTTTTTTGAGTGGTCTAATTTCAGCTACATTTAGCATAAGCAGAAATCTCCTTTACTCAGCCAATCAAGCACATGATTCGCTCCTGAACTCTGGTGCAATCAGTGCAACTGTGAGGCGCCTGTATTTTACCCATTGTTTGGGGGTAGAGGTTTTTCTGTCATTAAAGGCCGCTGAAATTTGTGATGAGGCCCTGGCAGTGTGTCTACTCTTTGTCTGTGTTTGTCCCTGCTGAAATGAGACAGCAGGGGCTGGAGGAAGGTACAGTATGAATAGAAGTGCCTGTCTGCAAACCACTGTCTTTTAATGGCGTCTACATCACACTGATAAATGTAACTGTTGTGTTCGTCCTCATATGGATGTACAAGTTTCAGACACACGAAGCAGATTGAATGCATGCAGGGCGGCATCACTGAGAAAGGAGAACGACACATTAAACTGCCTGCCTAAGATTGATATTTAGAGTCCTGTTGGTGAGGATCACATTTTCTGAGACAGTGGCCCGAGATGGCTTATTCCTTATAGACCGTCACTGTGGAACTAGAGGCTGAGATAAATGAATAGCTGCTACTGCATTTCAAAGATGAAACACTGAGGGGGCCTGTAGAGTTCAACTAATGTAATTATTTCAGCTTGAATGTTATTTTGAAATCTATCTGTGTGCACTGATTACTCACCATGATCTAATTTTTATGAATTGAAAGTGACAACTTGCTTATGTAGGACACAAATCATGATGATGGAGAGCAGAAGATCACAGTTTGTGTGCCCTCCTCCTTCCTTAGTATAGCAAGCATAAAAACCTGCAGTCTCATTGTTGCTGTCATTTTTAATGCTTGTATGTTTTTTATATGTAACTGTATGCTTATATTGCCTCAGGTTGGTGTATTACTGTAGACTCAGCGTAATGGAGGACTGTGCACCCACATGCCTACAGAAAAATATGTGAAATCAGACTGTGCACATCTGACTAAATCTGAGCAAGATGCTGTGTAAAGGTGCTTTTTGCTGGAGCGTGAAAGTGCTCTGCTAATGCATGATGCAAAGACTAATATGTTTTTCTATTTAAATAGTGATGTAGATCTTTGTGATGCATAAATATCTTTCAATTTACTACGCAAAAATCTGATGTATTTCATGATACAAAACTCTAAATTTTCCTAAGGAGATAATTAATTGGAATGGATTCGATGAAAGGAGGGGGCATGAATCTAAACCACTGCTATGGTTTGCATTTGTAGTTCACAACTCTTTCCTTTTTTTTTGTAACTTTTCATCGTTCTGCAAAATTTTAATCATAATTCCTCTCACAAAAATAATGACAGAAAATAAAGGTAAATCATTTAAAGCTTAGTTTTTAGAAAGTAGTAGTTATCAGTCAGTATCTTTCATGGAATTCATAAATGCCTAAGGTTGGAAAAATAAGTAGTGGACAGCTTTTTCACTGAATAGTCTGGATAAAAGCGGCTTAATCGAAGATTAAAGTGAACTTAAAATGATTGTGATTTTGAAGATTGATTTGGATAAGTTTAAACAATAGCCACCTCAGGTATTAGAATGGTACCTGCCCCTTAAAGTCGTAGGGAAGTCATATTTAAATTTCAAATCATTCTGGCTTAAACATGTATATAAATGTACTCTTTATGAGACCATATTGTCCCAAAAGTTGGAAAATTTCTATTTAAGAATAAAAAAATTTTTTCATTATCTTATTCAGGCCAGTGAGTTATACATCAGCTTGTACACCTAAATTCGGCTAATCATATGTCACCGGTCATCTGTCAATCAAAATTTTTTCGGTCATTGCATCTTGATTCATATGTCACAGCTAATATATGCAATGGTTGAAATAAGAAATAAGAATAATTTCCTTTCCCATTGAGTTCCGTCCCAGTGTTCACAGGGATGGACGTCTGTGTCTTCAGCAGGCGTACAGCTAACAGAACTGGCAGCGTTGCGAGGCAAGGGCTCAAACATGTACGGCTGTAAGCCTTCTACACCAAAACAAGCTTCTGCTGCCCTGGCGTCCTCTTCCACAACATCTTCGTTCCTGCTTTCCTCTAAATAAAAAACAGTATGACGGAGGAGACTCATCCACGACCTCTGACTCAAAACTCTCCTCCTCTTGCATGTTTCCGCTGTCCATAGCATTCCTTGACAGTGTCATTTCTAAGTCACCAATTTAGTGCTACTTGGTCCCAATGGAATTTCCCATTGGAAACCTACTAGCACTAAGTTGCTAACTGGTTAGCAAGATGCTTCAAACAAACCGGTCACAACCAAACATGCTTGCGAACCTTCCGCCAAAACAATCCCGCCCCCTTGATAAACGACCAATCACATTCACTTTATTCACTGTAAAGTCGGGCACCACTCGGGAGAATTCAGAAATGCAACCGTTGGAACAGCCAATTCCCTACAACTTTAAGCTAAGAGGGGTGGTCAAACCTTTCTGGCTAAAAACCAAAGCAACCTTATAAACAAAGATTAAGCTAACAGCTAATCAGACTCATATTAACAAATTGAAATTGAAATGTTCATTTAATCTGGATGAAATGAATAGCAATTCTAACCAAGCTGACAATTACCTAAAATTCAAGCTAAATACTATTTAGGTGGAGGGTTCTACAAGTGGTATCACCAAGGGGCGACCATGGCCACCCTGTGCAATGCCCTGGCCACCCCTCTGACCACCAATTTACCAGTGTAAATTGTAGTAGCATCAATTCAATTCAATTCAGTTTATTTATATAGCGCCAAATTCACAACAGTTTCACCAAATTCACCAAATTCGCATCAGTTTAGCATTTCATCCAATTATGCACAGATCTGAACGTAACTTTAAATATCACACAATAAACAAAGATGTGAGTAGGTGTTGCATTTTATTTTATTGTCTTTATGATTTCTACAGGCAGGATTACCACAATAGTAGATTATAACCCTGGAATTATGGCTTTTAGTTTCAGTGTGCCACCTCAAGTTTTTTAGTGGCCCATCTGGCCACCACTATGAAATATTACTGGAGGGGCCACTGAGTTCTACTTGCAGCTACCTAAGCTAAGAGCCAACTCACAGTTAAAGGAGAGAGGTTAAGTTTTTGCTCATATTTCATCTTATCACTTCAGCAGAATAAGGGCCAAAGGTCAGCTCCCTTCTCATTAAAAGCTGCCCCAATATTTACTCTGTTCATCACAGATCAGCCTCCAAATTTAAACGAATTCTCATATATGCCCTTAATTGTCAGACAAAACCAGCCAAATGTGCAATTAAACCATCACAGACTATAAAAGAGTAAGAAAATAAAACTTTTGTCTTGTCTGATGATAAGGGCCAAATTACCTTTTAAATGCATCTTTACTTTTTAAACTTGGTCAACACTCCTTTAAAATTAACACCAAAGGTTAGCTTCATAAATTCCCCAAACTTCTGACAACTGGTAACTATATCTCTTTTGAGATTTCTTCTTTAACAATTCTGGTTATATAAATTAAGAATTGTGCAATAAAATTTCCAATTGAAGAAAAATTTCAACATGGGCTCCCATACTTGTTCAGAATTTTAGCAAAATAAACAACACTTAAGAGAATTGATACTATCTCGCATTCTAAAGATTTACATCACATCGCTTTTTATGCTGAGATGTTTCCCATCTGGCTTTTAACTTCACCTTTTTAAGTAGATCTTACTCAGAGGTGCACTCTCTGAAGAAAACTAAAACTGGTTTTACCTTGAAATAACCAAGACTCAGAAACTCCACTGTGTGCTGATCACAGTGATGGGATAATACTGGACTCTCCAGCTTTAAACAGGCTGGATATTGTGTATAAGTCCCATTACCTGCTTCATCTGAAGGCTCAGCATGCCCAGCATGGCCGAGACTGTGCACACGCAGCACCTCATCAGGGCTCAGAGCAGCCAGGCGGCTCTCCTGCCGTCTCAGACGTGCTTAAAATACAAATACCTGAAAGTAAAGGTTACAAGAAGGGATTTTTCATCACTTGGGAATTTATTTATTTATGTTTGTTTGCTTTATTCTGAAGCAAATGCATCTCTTTGCATTATAATTTACCAACACAAGGTCTCATCTTTCAACAGGAAAATATATTATGTTCTGTTTTTACCTTCCATTAGTCAAGTAAAGTGAGCACCGATCACCCTGCTCTCATCTATACCTGCTAACCTGATGTGTTGTCAGGAGGTCTGGAGAAAAGTCCTCCTGGTTGGCAGAGGGGATGATGGTACAAAAAGGAAGAGCCGAGTCATGTGACCTGATGACTGAGGATGGTCTGCGGGCCCAGTGCTGGCCAGGATCGATCTGTCCTGCTATTTGTTTAACGTTTAATTATTCTATGCTTTCCTCCCTTAAGATGCCCCCTCCCCATCCATTAAACATTATGGCATGTTGAAATTCACACCACACTGCCCTGCCCAACCCCAAGGGCCTCCCCCGTTGCTGCTTCTCAGCTATCCACCACATATTCTTCTTATTTTTTTCTTTTTGGTTTCCTCAACATCCATCTTGAAGTGTTTTTTTTATGAGGATTATCTCATACCGTTATATACGTTTTTTATTTCTATTTTCAACTTTATAGAGTAAGAATCAGTTTGCTGGTCCATTATTTAACCATTCCACCTCAGTCATACTCCATCATTTTCCCTGGTGTGTGGGGTGAATTTCCATTATACCACTTTATGGTATAATGACTTTAAATGGGCTTCAGTTACTGACTTTTGTCGCTATTGTTTTCTCTATTTGATATGCATCCAAAACTTGTAGCTTCTCACTTTTTATATAATTGCCTGGCTTTGGATGTTGATGTTTGCTTTGCTAGCAGTTTTTTAAATAAATATCTCCTTTTTTTTCTTTTTTTTAATTTGTTTATTTATTTTGGTTCCCTTGGCTTTTGCTTAAGGATCTTGTATAAAGTAATAATCAGGTGGATGGAAATTTATTTATTTTTCTTTTCTCCCTCCTATGCAGCCCTCTTCCTCTGTAGAGACTCAGGATGTAAGAATTCATTAATGAGTTTGTTTTTTTTATGTTCCTCTCTGCACACAAACCATGCAGTCACTGTGAGAGTAGCTGTGGGGCACTTTGATGGTGTGAGGGAGGGAGGGCGCCAAACTGGCTTTCTCATCTTGTAAGAATATGGTATAAGTTTGCTTTTTTTTTCTATAACGCTTAAACTTTTATTTTAAAGAACTTCTGAATAATTTACTGGAGCTTGCAATCTTAGTTTTCTATATAGATTCACTAAATATGTCAAGTCTACACACACCCTTTACAGGTGATACAGGTTTTTGTGATGTAAAGAAATGACCCCATGTTAAGTGAATCAAAAGGTTCTTCCAACAAAGCAAAAGCTGTGGTCCTCAGATGACTTCCAAAGCATTTGTGAAATGTCAGTGAGAAACGCATCAGTCAGAAGGGGAAAAAAATATTGAGGCACTGAACATAGTACACACAAAGACAAAAACAGTAGTTTTTAAAATGTCTGCATAAAGGCAGCACTATGTTAAGATGAATTGCGCACCCAAATTTAAACCCACCCAAACCAGTTTCAAGGACCAACTGGGATAGTATGTTTAAGTTTGAGCTTTTTGGCCAATGTTACTATTATTTTTGGGGATCATACAGTCAGATTGGTCCAAAGTTTTCTATCTAAGGACAGCCAGGTGATTGCATCAACTGATTGACTCTCTGCAGCCCCTCACACCGAGTTGCTTGTAGCGACAGTGGAGAGGAAAGCTCTTTTTAAACAGAAAGAAACCTCCAGCAGAACCAGGCTAAGTGTGAGCGGCTAAATGGGTTGTTAGTCTGGACCTTATCGAGCCAGAAAGGATGCAACAGCCCAACAAACCTAGTCTTGCCAGCCAGACTGAAATACACTGAGAGTAATTCAGTCTGGTAAATGCCGTTAATCCTGAATACTCTGGCCGGACCAATCACAGCGCAGGAGGCAGTACTTTACGATGCGTCACTTTCAGGGCCTTTCTGCTAGCATAACAGCAAGATGCCGACCGCAAAAGAGCAATGATTTAATGATGCCCTTTCTGCAGTTATGAGATTGATCTAACTTTAAAACTTCAACAACGGACAGCCTTAGTCTCATTTCTTTTCAAATAGCGTGTATTTGCTATTCTCTGCTTGACGGGTTTCATGGACTACAAAACCAAAAAAAGAGAGCAGGTCACTTGGACTTTTTGAGTTACATCTGTAGTTATCTGATTGGTTCTGATCTGATGAAGATCCCCCTGTTAGTTCCGCCTTTGAAACTGAGTTATATTAGCGGTATACTAGACTGATACGGCGTGTATATGTCATATCAGTGTGGCCTGTCAGGCTACTAAAAGCTACTGTGGTGTCAAAAGTTATTTGACCTATATGTCACAGTGCAGGTTCAGATCACCCGTAATCTACAATAGCAGAGATTCATCGGAATTATTAGCATCTATCACACTGAAAAAGGTCACAAAGCAATTTCTGAGCCTTTGTGACTCTAATAATCCACATTGAGAGGCATTATCGGCCCTGGTTAAAGTATCCCTTCTGTTGAAACGGTTTATCCAAGAAATCATAAAACTCAGAGTAAAATCCTAAACACTGCCAGGCTCAATAAAGGCCAGAGTTCATGATTCAACAATAACAAAGAGAGACTAGAAAGAAAGGTTTTTAAAATGAAAACCAGAGCAGGAGAAAGCTAATATTTGCACAGCTTGCCTTAAAGCGTCTTTTCAGATTTGGAAAATATTCTGTGGACTTATAAGAAAAGAGTTTGACCCTTTTTAATGTGTTTGTTCCTTCAGATTTAGTGATAACCTTAAATATGCCTTACCTGTTTTAAAACTCTCTAATGTGACTGAATTAAAAAGTTTTGCAAAGATAAAGGGGCCCAAAATGTATCCACAGTTTCCTCAAAAAGCTGATAAATTTTGAGTTTTAATACAGTTCCTTATCTTAATACAGAACTTTTAAGATAGGGAACTTGCCTGGTTTCAGTATACGCTTTACATAAGGTGTCAGGGTTATGACTTTTCACTTCTCTGCTTCTCAAATGAAAAACAGGAAAGCATTCTTGCAAAACATTTGACAGTCTTATGGCCTTCATACACTATTTCCAATGATGAGAGTAACATATAGAAAAACAAATGATTGAGAGCAATATAGAACATATAAATGAATAAAATGATAAAAACAACAGAAATCATATTAACTCCAACAGCATGGTTAAAGGCTGTAGACCTACCTTAGAATGCAACCACGTTTATCCAGCACATTATTGAGATTATACATATTACAGAACATTCCGGCATGGTTCATGTTGGTCTAATTTATTTACATTGCAAAAACCAGGCCTCTCAACAAGGGTGTGCTTTTTATATCCGCTGTACCTTTTTAAATCATATGTAGCGTTTTTCATTTATCCATTTAAAAGCTACGATCACCCGGGTGTTAAGTGTCCTTTCAGGCTACAGCCATTCATTTAGACGGTTTGAGTAATCATTTACATCTTTTCTAGTCATCACTCATTCCAGTGCATTTTGAAGGTGCTGCGTGAATGTGTGATCACATTTTTGAAGGACTACACCATCATCCTGTGCAGTCAGAGATATCGTTTCATAACACCTAGAAAAGTGCCCTCATATCAGACTTAATGGACTTTTCCCACACACATCTAACAAACTTTATCCCTTTCTTTCTCCCTCCTTTCACTTTTTTTTACTTTTTTTTTTTAAATGCTCTAGTCTTTTTTTTTTGCAAGATCCTTTTGATTAATTAGACCATAAGGTAATCTAAGTGGGGTGTCGGGTGCTGGTTATGCTGGTGGGTACAGAGCGACTGGGTGAGACTGAAAGACGCAGTCATCACCCCAGCCGTAGAGCATGAATAATGTTTCTACATATATTTATTTTAGGATAGGAAAAGTGGTAGAGCAGAGCCCGACCCCAAAAAGAAACCCTCTTTTAGGTCCATCAGTACCACCCTGGCTTCCAGCATCAAGAGACGTAGGTCCTCCAAAGACACGGTAAGGAGATGAAGGATCAACGACCTCCACTTGTTTACTCCTCCTCTTTTCACTCTTCCTCTCCTGTCTCTAATTTCACCTTCTCTCCTTCTCTGTCTTCTCTGCATACATCCCCCATATCCGACTAAGTCCCATGTTCAGCCCACTCATTTCCACACGACCGCGCAGCCTCTGCCAAGTGTCTGTCCCTTTTGCCATCGATCAGCCATCACCATGTAGGGTTTACAGCTCCTTTAGTTTCAGCTAGTGAGGGATCCAAAGTCAGGGCAACAGAATAAGAGCTGGGTTCTGAATCTCGGAAGAGAAGCCTCCCAATAATCCGGAGTTTCTAGAGGATTTGCCAACAGTGGGGTCTTCAAGAGGAGGGGGGCCACAAAAGCCAGCAAGCCCTGTTTTGTCTTGAGCTGCTCTTCTGTCCGAACTCCGGTTCTATGTGGAATATGGCAGTAGTATTCCTCTTGTTCAGTGGTGATGTTGCAGTTTGTGTGAGCTGTAAATGAGCCTGTCTGGTCATATGATTGTGTTGTCATTTTGACTGCTTGATCCTTTGTGTATCCATAGTGCTTTTGCAACCAACTTGCACTTACCTCGGTTTGGTTTTAGCTACTGTTTTGTCAAGCATGCACTACTGTTCCCTAATTTAGTTTTATATTGCTTTTGTTTGTTTGTTTTTTTCCCCCAAAAATTCATGATAAAGGCAGTTGTGATGGCCAGTCCTCCCGTGGAGAAAACCAACGTATTGTCTGATTTAACAACAGGTCTATTTTCAGGATCTGAGTAATGGATTTTTATTAATAATCTTTTGATTTCTCATGATTTCTTTCCCACAAATGTTGTTTAATTTCCTTGTGGTCTGAACTGTGCATGACTCTTTCAGGTTGTTTTCAGGTGAAGACGACGGTCCTCTTTTGTGTTTAAATTATTTTTTGCAATCATGCAACGAACCATGAAACTAATTTTGTTACAGGGTTAGCATCAAACATTGTATTTAAATTTTTCTACATCTACAGCAGTGTTTCAAATGTGAATGTCACTCAATCACTACATTAACTTGACTTTAATGATAAAGTATTACGTATATTTAGCAAACTGTTTTGCACAAAGGTGCAATGGCTCTTCATCATATTCTGAAAATTCACTGCTTAACATGCCTGATGACTTAATTTACTGTGTTTTTCGGAGGGTTGAATATTTAATTTTAAAAAAAGGTTATCTTCATTGCACTAAATCAACCTTCAGTGGTACATAACAAGCTGCTGGGGCTAAACTAAAAATTCAAAAACAAGGTAACATCAGGGTTAACATGCGAACATTATGCTCTATTGACTAATGGACTTCTATACTACACTTCCTAACAAATGCTTAACAAATGCCACCTGTTTACAGTAAATTTAATGTGCCACGAAACAGACTTTTAGTGCACTTTACAGTATCTGCCTTTTCCCCAGATACCATAATACATTGGGTGAACTCTGTTGGCAACTTCCATTTGGATATTACTATATGTAGACAAAGGGTCTCTTGTAGACATAAAAAACAATTCAAATGGGACTGTGTGACACTACTTTATTTTTTTTTAAATGACTTTATGACCTGAAGAAAAATACAAATTACATAGACCTGAATTTTATCAGCTTTGCTGCTATGCACAAAACTTGATGTCCAAATTTCAATGCTGTATTTATTTGATGTTTTACATTCTTTCAAGTCTATCACTAATCAATAATAGCAGATTATAAAAGTCTGACAATATGCTACTCGTCTCTGAGACTGAAAATATCATGTGCATACAATAGCTCTGTTGATCATTTGGCATAAGATTTGAAGTAGGAGGGATTATCCTTTTCCCTTAGCTTTTGTTTATAGGTAAAGACAACACCAAGGGAACCTGTCAGTGGTCGATTCATTGACCTGGAATTCTCATCTGTTGGTAAAACCTGCTACTAATTAAAGAAATAATCTTTGAAGAGGTAGTGCTTTAGACCGAGTGCATGAAAACAGATTTAATTAAATGCACAGTTCCTCTTTGTTTAATCCTGAATCCACAAATATGAACATTACCACTACTATAGTAAGATAAAAAATATTCATGGGGTGAATTGTTCCATTTAAAATTATTAGTGTTATTTTTGATATATATATAAAAAAAAAATTTTTAATATATTATGCATTAGCATGCTAAAAATAGCCTTGCCACACTAGCATTATGATTGACTTAGGTAGCGCATAACATTACACTTGATAATGGATGCTGTGCATAACTTCTGTACACTGCAATTTCTGTGAAACCTGTTTAGTGCCCTGTATAAATTCAAAGTAAAATCACTGTATGAGCAATAGCATTAGCTTGCTTATATTATGGTCAACATGCTACTTTATCCTTTTGTTCATTAAGCAGGGTTGCCCACAGTCTCTTAAAAAAAAACAAATTAAGAAACAAAATGCATACATACATACATTGCGTAAAAAATAAATGCATACTGTAAGTAGGGTGGATGACAATGCCCTGCCAATAAGTGTCCCTCATTTAATTTTTACAGAGTTGGCAGCCCTGTGGTAAAATAAGGACCACTTTACAGTTCTTAAAAACAAAGCATAACCTCTATTAAGTAAATAGCATTGCCCAATTACTCGCACTTCCACACTTGTTTCCCTCTATAAAGCATTCCCATTAATGGGTTCAAGTGCATAGCGTGTTAAAACAATTTTCATTTTCTCCATCTCTATCCACACTTTGGCTAACACACATCCAAATGGACAATTATAGTATATTACCCACAATTTATTAGTGCATTTCACATATTTAGCAAAAGGGGCATAAATATTGCAATGTTTTGCAATTGAACGCTTTTGCCTAATAAATGTTTTCAAGTCTAAATATAAAAAAATATTAATCTCTTGCTATTCTGCACATGTAGAAATGCAAAATGTTGATTGTTTTAGTTTTAATGAAGTTATAAGATTAACACTATATCAGATTTGCTTAAGCATCGTAATATTCCTGCTAATGTGGCACTGTTAGTTTAGACAGCACTGCATCATTTTGCATATAAACCTAAATAAAAACCTTTTTGCACTACATAATGTACATTAAAGTTTATGCTTGCATTAGCACTGACATATAGTACCACCAAACTATTGGATAGGCTACAGTACATTGCTCGGCACATTTTGATCTATTATGAGCAATGAAGGACAGTCTATTACTGCTTTGACTCTACCAACAGATGGATTTCTAATGTACCGGTTATTTGACAGTAGTGCTCTTTCCCACATTTATCTATTTACCTATTTTTTTTAGCTCATGCCACCCGTGACTGTAACAACTTTAACACCCCTTAGAAAATGGATGACACACTGTGTAGTGCACTAAATAGTGAACAAGTAGACAATTCACCCAAAGCATATGCTTGACCAATTGAGAGTTTACAGTGTTTCGCATTTCTTCACACTTGAGCTCAAACTTCGTGTTTGGAACACATCTAAAGTATTGATCCTGAAGTTAAATGCAGCTTCTCCCCCTCAGCACTTGTATTGATCAATACAAGAATAAAAGCAGGTTTCCACTCTGACATTTTATTTTGGGTGTTAATCAAGGCAATTGTATTGCAGCAGCTACTTTATGCTAATGAAATTCTAAAAGTTGGTTTAAATATATCTTTTCTTTTGCATTTCTTATCTCCTTTTTCTTCTATCATGGCTGCTTATCAACCGAAGCAAGCAGCATTTATTCTTCTTTGACAGTTTCCTAAATTAGTTTGTTTTGTCTCAAGAGGATTTGAATTTCTATTGGTAATTGGTCTGCTTAAGGTTTAAGGTTTTAATGTTGGAGCACTGTTTAGGGAAAAATGTCCTAAGTGAAAAAACAGGATAGTTACATTTTAAAAAGTACTTCTAATATAAAGACCAACCATCTTCAGTCGTTGACCATTATTTTGATTTTATATCAATGTTCTTCTTTTTTATATTAATGGATATCAATGGACTTAAGTGTCAGTGTCCCTCACCCACATGCCACACCGCTCCTCTCTTCCTCTGCAAGCATGCCAACTTCCTTTAACTGTCGTAGCAGTAGTAACAGTAGAAACAATGTGTAGATTGTCCTTTTGAATAAGTAGCCCTATAAACCTTACCTGTGCTTGTGATGTCAGTAAAGTGTCTTATTTTACTGGTCCACTTGACCCCAGTGGGGCGTGTTCCTTAAATTAAAGCCCCCAAATGAATAAAAGCTATAATGAAAATAAATAGGGGCTGTAAGCTATATGATGATGCAACTGGGTCAAGGGGATGAGAAACATCCACACTAAGTAACACACAATGCAGTGCAAAAGTTTTAAATTGAATCACTTCTTTATATTTTGCTTCTGAGGAGCCAGATATCCTTGCAAAATTTTACAGCTCATCTAATCAGTGTTTTTTTTTTTTTTTTCAGATTTATTTGGGGCCCTTTGGTTTCTTTTTGATTCACTTTTATGTTCACTACCTCAATTTTTTTTATATATATATATTTTCTATTAAGGTATTTCATAAAAACTACTCGGACATAAAAAAAGGTTCCATGTTGCATTGAAACATGACAGAAATACTGATAAAATGTCAGCTTAGGTTGTCAGGTACTTTGTCACCGGCACCTAAAGACCTTCTTTTTCTATTGTAAAACAAAAAAACAACAAAAAAAAGCTAAATAGGTTGACTTAAAAAGGTGACAGCGTATGCATTATAATATCGCATGAAATGATTGGATTGACTGTCTGCTGGAATTGATAGGTGAACATTAAGAAACATGAAAGAGTGGATGGATGGTGTGAAGATGTTGATCTTTTCTTTGAAAATTATATCAAAAGAGCTTTTGAAATGTATCTAGGCCAAATAAAATTTCCATTTTTTCCAGGCTAGGCATGATTCAATTAATCAAACAACACAATTTCAAGTCTTTTAAATCCATAGTGAAAAAAAACTGCTAAATTCTGAAGGAATAAACATCTTAACCTGAAAAACTTTTGATCAAGATAATCAGGAATATCAAGTTTTGCTTCTCTAAAGCAAAATATAAGAGTTTCTTAATTTTGCACAGTGTTGTTTAATGCTTAAGTCTGGATGTTGCTCTTTCTGTTAGCATGTTAGCTGCATAATAAGATGAATCGCTGGGATATATCGTCTTTATTAGCTCAAGGTAAGGAGCCGTTAAGCAACTTAATCAGCCTGAATAATAAATATGATAAGTAAACATGAGACGGGCACATCTTCCCTCATTTACTTTGTTTTGCTGTTAATCTACAGATAAAAATTGTTTTTCGGGAACGATGAGTGTGACTATTGGGATCATGATGCAGTTTGTGTTTGGCGCACAACTTCCTTTCACGCTCACATTGCTCCAAAACAAGACAAAATTCCAGAGAAACTTGTTATTTTCCTAACACCTCCACAGATTATACATTACAATGGGATCTTGTTTCCCCTCTCAGCTTTTTATAACGCTGTAATAGAAGTAAGAGCAGTAAAGGACGGACCAGGCGAAAGTATCTGACGCAACAGCACTTGAAATCTGTCAATAATTAATCTGTTTCTTCTAAGCTGCTAAAATTAGACACTCAGCTTTTTTCTGCAACCATGAAATAACGACACAGATAAAGAGAAGTATGTTTGATCTGTCTCCCAGTCATGAACCTGGGGCTAAAGAATAAAAGTTGTATTAAACCAGCTGTTATCCAGGTTCTCGTCTGCTCCTAACTAACCCATTTCAGGCAAAATCAGACGGCTAAAGGGAAAATCAGGGTAATAGATTGCCTTGCAAATGTGTTAATACTTCTTGAAACCTTTGATACATTTTGTCAGACTTTCACCACAAGTTTCTGTTTGCATTTTAAAAATTTTTTTAAGGCAGCCAAACATAGACTGGTTCATAGTTTCTGTTTGGAAGAAATTAAACATTACTTGGACATTTTTTTTTTTTTTTACAAAAAAAGGTAAATTGTGGCATCTGTATGTTTTTTCCCCCCTTTAAATTGATACCCAATAGAGAATATTGAATAAAAATTCAATGACAAATCAATTGCCTTTCTTAACTTTAAAGTCTTAAAACAGATGATAAACAGATAATGAATTTGTATCACAAAGATACAGCTTTATTCAAATGAAGACCTGCTTGTATGGTTATGTGTTTTGCAATGCTGGAAGGGGAACTTCTGCATGCAGGCTATATACAGGCTTTTCTGGAAAAAAATGCCTTTAATTTATTTCCTCTTCCTTCCAACAGTTATCACCAGGAAGATTGTTTTTACGAAAATCTAAGGAAAGAGAAATTTTTGGAGAATATGGCTGTGTCCTAATATTAATGTCCCGAGTCCTCATCTTTTCATTTTATATATTTATTTCGATGAGGATAAACTTGGTTAAAAATGATCATGATTTATTAGTTTTGTTTTGTTTTTGCCAATATATTTGGACTGTAACGGTTTTAACCATCCCACGTCTCCACATCAGGAAATAGTAAAATATGGTCAATAATGAGATGCTGTGATATACAACTGAAAGTTGCATTTTTTTGTGCTGAGACCAATTTTCAAAAATGTAAAAATAGATCACACTGAATTCACTATTTTCCTTTCACGTCACGTGTTTCAGTGCCATTAAAATAAATGCTGCACCAGGTTAATAATCATGCTTATACAGCAAACAGATACGTTTTTGTTTTTCATCAAACCAGTTCACGTTCAGCTCCATATTGCACTCTAAAGCCCGTAGTTAGCAGGTAAATATTCATTTTCAAAACAAAAAAAAGATGACTTTTTTTTTTTTTTTTGCCAGCAAGCTATTGCTGCTTTTCTGGCTTTATCTCAAGTTTTTCTATACATAATATGAGAGGTTTCTGCACCCACACCATCAGCTTCAGCCTCCCTGTTCTGGAGGAAATACATGTTTTAACAGATTTTCAGCAACATTACAGCCCAGAGGATAAATATCAAATCTGTACAGTACATATATATTGTTATTAAAATAAAATAAGCCCCAAAAAATAAAGGCAGTTGAATATCCTTTTATTTGTTTTATTTGTACTTCGTTTCTGATTGGACAATCTGCAACCTGTTTAAATAGATTTTACTTAGGGGTATCATAGTCAAGGGGTGTTAATACAAGTCCATGCCACACTTTTCTAACTTTATTTTTAAAAGGAGATAAAAAAAATTAAATCGTTCCATTCAGTTTAAAGATTATGCTGTACTTTGTGTTAGTCTGTCACTTTAAATCTGATCAAGCCAGTGTGATTCTACCTGAGATGGGTTAGTTTCCTCCTGCTCCCCTTTTATAAAAGATAAGGTAGAAAAATGCTCAAATGTTCCCCTTCTCTTACTAAATGATTCCGTTTTGTGTGTCTCTTGTCATCTTTTGCTTCCATTTTTCCTTCACCTTTGCAGCAGTACCCACCCACTGACGCCACTGGGCAGCTCAACTTGTCTGACCCATCAGTCAGCACTGTGGTGTAAAACTAAAAGAGAGAGAGAGAGAGAGAAAAAGAAAAGAGAACGACACTGAGGTCCGTTCGACAAGGAGAGGAATCAGGATGATATGGAAGAAGGTTAATCAAACGAGGAAGACTCCATGTTTCCCTTCGAAAGCTGAAGCTGTGGAGCTCTGGAAAAAAAAGCCTCTGCTGAAGAAGCAGCTGACGACCCTGAACTTTGCACCTTTTTAAAAAATATAAAAACAGGATTATCTTTCCAGTCTTAGATGTTTTTAGGATGGCTGAGCATGCACCGAAGAACCCATCTTACCTACATATACAATCTTTTCCTTCTGTATATTATTAACTTGACTTACTTAGCCTTGTTTTGTCCTTTTACTCACATAAACATAATGTTTGGTGTTTCATTTTAAACAACCTGCTGAGCAGCTGAATAGGTTTTAGAGGACCGGGTGTAGTTTGGTTCATTTTAGGGATAAAAATTTGTTTTAGTGCAAATATTTTACAGGTATTTCTCTTGCGATTAAGGCTAAAATAGAGCAGAAGAATCAAGCGTTTCCTAAATTCTTATAGTGCAATACTAAAAGTGCTAGAGATAAATTATTTTTAAAAGAAACTATATATGAGTTTTTATCGACACTTTAAATGTTTTTAGTTATTTTAACGGTAATAATGGCACTTAAAACAAGCATATGGCTTCTAATGTCTTCTGGTGAAAATGAAAGCATGTGTGTGCTTGTAAAAAAATTTAAAGGCTTTATGTATTTGAATGATGATAATGATTAAGGCAACATTTAGATCAATTCTTTAAATGTTAGCATTCTTCATTTTGCACTTACTTGCCCAAGGCAATTATTTTAAATGTTAGCAAAAGCTTCAGCTATTTATTTTACTTTTGACAAAATGTTTATTAATATATATAAATTGAAGGAGACCATAATAGGATATAAAGAGCATTAATAAAAAAAAAAAATGGTGTTTTATGTGCTTAGACACCCTCTCTCTTCCTCTCTCCTGCAGCTGCAGTCTTTCTCATTTCCGGCTTTGAAAGGGGTTGCATCAAAGGGCCACGTTTTTCACCCAACCAGCACTCAGCCTTTTGTGCAAAACCTCAGAGAATTTTTGCATGAAGGGACCAGAGTGAGTTGAAATCTCCTGTGCACTTCTTGGTTAGCTGCAAAAACGAGCCGTTTCCCATTTTCTGGAGATGAGAAACATCTGCTGTCTACAGGCTGACACAATCTTTAGTGTCTGTCACTGCTTTGCACTTTATGCTGAGGGGTCTCCATCATAAAGTTTTCCTAATAACAAGCTGAATTACTAGGAAACTACAGTAAAGCCCCAAAAGTGTCTCCCAGACATGCTGACTTTGTACCCCAGATATCATCTTATTTTACTTTATAATAGACTCACAAAGCTTATTACTGTCTCATTTAAGACCCTGCATGCTTCTATATCAATAGCATAACATATTGCTTTTGTTTGTTTCTGGATACGTGATATTGAAATGTAAAGTTGACGGAGCTGTATGAGGAAGCACTTCATTTTTATGCCATGTACATAGGTAAGGAGGTTAAGCTGCACTTGTGCTGCGCCTGCAGCAGAGAATTTCTGATACTACAGTTATAAACTCGCAGGAGTTTTGTAACCCAGGCATGTACTGACTCACGAACGTGTACAAACATGCACAAGGAAACCGTTATAGCAAGAACTGGTTATTCTTTCCTACATTTTCCAGTCAAGATATTGTTTAAACCATCGTTTTTATTGCTGTAAATAAAGTATGCTGACACTGAAAAGTCTAACCCCTTTTCGTTTCGGGTTTGTGTGCAGTCAGAACTTAGATTGAGAGCAAATTACAGGAAGCATTCTAAAGGGCTTAATTTCTGACTGTGCAAATGTGTCCTTTTTTTTCATTTTTTTAAATTTCTATCTTTTTTTTTTGTTTGGAAATTTTGCTTTTGAATCATGTTCAGACTTGAAGCTCATGATGTATAGATTTTAAGAGGAAACACAAGAGTCATTGGAGAGTGATGAAATGTTTGAATCCCCAGTTATGCATTGCACAACGTCCAACATATGAAATCATAATAATAATTTCACAATAAGCTCATACAGTTAAAAAACAGTGATTTATATGAAGTTTATCTTTTAAATAATATAGATATTTGTAAGAATCTGGCTTGAATCCAAAATTACATGATTATTACATGATTCACCGAAACAAAATATATATTAACGTTTTGCAGGTGCTTAAGCACTGATCAGACAATCTTCTTTATTACTTGTGAAATGACTGACAAAGGAGCTGACTGTAAAGGCTCAGAACATAGGACCCAGAATTCAAGGCAAACAGACAGACTGATTTCTCAAAGGAATTTATTAAAAACGAATTGATCTAAGGCAGGAACCTCTGCAGAGGGAAAACTCAGGTTAGTGACCATGTAAATGTGAAGGAGGATTACGAACATGTGAGTCACTAACCTGTTCTTAAAATTCAGTATGTGCCCAGAGGAAGGGGGGAATTCCAGCCAAATGGCTGCCAACCTCACGCGGCGAACGCTGCCCAGAGAGTTCCAGACGCTGAAGCCTTGAACACTGCAGGACTGGATGACGAACAGATCCAAGCAGATGAAGGAAGGCAGGACTATCCAGAAGATAGTCCATCTGCTCAGCATGATGTTGTAAGGTTCGATCCACTCACACAGACCGATACCTTCTTTTTGACTCACACT